ACAACCGACCGCATCACCAGACAAGATTTCATCATAAAATGTGTTCCTACGCCAAACTGCCCTTGTGAAACAAGAAGAAAATAGATATCTTTCGACAGAAGAAAAGCAAATTTAAGAAAATAAAATAACGATATAAATTCATGCAACTTTTTCACATGTATCAACGTTTTAGTCACTTTGTTAAAAAACAATTTATTACTACAAAGCGAGTGTTTAAACGAAGTGCGTTTTGATTTTTCGTCAGCAGGGGACGAGTACACAAAGTGAGCAGGGAAGGGAAATTAAATCTTTGGAATTAAATCCTCGTTATGTCGAGGCTTAGTCAGCTAAAACACTGCAATGTAGTTATGTATTAAAACTTATCGATTTAATTATGTAGTATATGTGTATATCAAAATATTATAAGCCCATATATATTATAAATCTACATTTGTGTTTAGCCACACAAAGGCTCATTAGTTTGTCAATGGACAATATTTCATCTTGTTTCAGGCCAAAAGAAGAGGTTTAACCAAGCTGTTCCACTCCTGATGATGGGACCTTTGACCTTTGTTGAATGTGAGCTGTCATCTCGAGTTATTGTTGTAATTTGACGTGTATTCAAATGTGTATGTATGGACTTTGTAAATGTGAAGTGTTTGTCATGATTTAAACCAGTAATGACCCAAATGCAGGCTCAGACAACATTAAGTGAGAAACAAGGATTTATTTTCTAATTCAACAGGAATCACAAAGAACAATAGTTAAAGTTAATCTGGACATTAGCTACCACGGTGGCTGAACAAACGATCTGACGACCAGTGGGAGAAAGGCCAGGGTTTTTATGCCGTCAGTGATGGGTTGATTGAAGGCAGGTGCTGAGGAACGGCAGGTGTGCTTCAGTGATTAACCAGGCAGAGTCAGGGAAATGTGCCACGCCCACCACACAGACAGAGACAAGTGCACAACACAAGAATGGGGGAAACACAGGGAACGACAGTGTTTTTGCTATTAAAAGACTGAAAAGTTGTTTTTGTTCATTCATTGTGCGAGTATTGTGGTTCATTTTTTTTAACTTACTGCTTGTAACTAAACAAAACTAAGACTTAAAAAAACAAACAAAAAAAAACTTTAAAAAAAACTTTAAAAAAAAATTAAACTAAAAAAAAAAAAAACTTAAACAAAAAAGTTTTTTTTTTTTTTTTTACCTATACCATACCCTTGACTTTGACAATGCACGCCCTATAAGGCAATGAGAAATTCCATTCATATTTTCCCATTTTTGCTCAATTTCTGGAAATAAATGCAAATCACACACAATATTCCAACAATTTTCATTATTCTGGAAGAATCACAATGAAAGTACAATGGCCAAAAAGGCACAATGAATGGAATAAGCTAGACAGAAAAAAAAACTAGTGCCAAAAAGTGACCCTGCTTAGTATCTAACCATTGTTAACACAATTCAGTAAAACACTCACCAGTCCAACAAGTGATCTGCTTCAGGTGAAGTTGCTCCTGCTGTGTTCAGTCTTCTCCATCTGTTAAGACAAAAGCATACGATACACAATGAGCTGAAATAAAACAATCACAAACAGTTACATTGATGTAACTATTTTTGGAACAATCAAAAGCTGTGTTGGTGTCATTTACCTCTTGCCGTCAGGGTGGAAAGCCACACAGTTGATGGGAACAAAATGACCTTTGACTCCAGCCAAACACCTCTTCGTACGCAGCTTGGAAGTCATTTCAGTTTTTTTTCAGTGAATAGTTATTTCAGATAAATCTATATACTCGGAGGTATTTGAATACATTAAACAGCAGCTGGCTCTTACAATGCCTTTTTATTGGGTATAAGTTAACAGAAAACACTTCACTTCCACAATGATTCATTTTAAATTAAATTAATTTTTGATGATCAGAGGGTGTTCATTCGAGTCAAGAGGACAGATGGTTTGACAAAGGGGTGAAGGAGGTCATCCAGACCATCTCTGGAGAGACCATCTTTGAACAGAGGAGGGCGCCGCAGACACCAATTATCACCCACCTCCAATGCCGTCCTTAGTTCTGTCCACAGGAAGTACAGGCGAGACTCACGCCTCCATTCAGGTAACTCCAACCCCCCTCCCTGCCCCCCCACCCAGAGGACAGGGAGGGGGGGAGGCAGAGTGACCACGCCTCAGCACTTTAACTAATTATTCCTCACTCTCCTGAAAAAGGGGCCTCGATCAAATGGAAAATGGCCGAAGCTGTGATCAGTGTCCCACGTCTTCCAGAGACCAACGACCGTGGAACGGGAATATGTGTTCACCCAGTGATGCACACACACAAAAAGAGGAACAAAGGCGGGTGAGGAGATTGGGGGTGCGTGAGTCTCCCCCGTCTCCAGACAACGAACTGCGGAGTAACAGGCACAAATGATAACACAATACAATTAACTTCAAATGGTTTCAGCGCTCACATAAATCTCTCCCTCGGCGGGGTCGCAAATGACTTTAACTCCTTTCGTGAGGACGGGATTTTAATTGCACGCGGCTCCAAATGCTGTGATGCTCACGCCGTCGCTGGCACAGGGTGAGGAGTTTAAAAATAATCACAATAAAAATGAAAAAGGGAGAAAAAAACCATCTCTTGTTACACATCTGACATTCAGTTTCACTGCATTGTATAAAAGGCGTGACGTGGTGGAGTGGTGTGAGTCATCACACACACCCACCCACAGTCCAATCAGGAAACGTCTGGGTTCTCTCTGAACCTGGTCCTGTTCCTCGCTGGTTCCTGTTTTTTTTGATGACCTTGTTTTGTGGCAGGATCTTTAAACGAAGGAAGAGAAAATGAAAAACGACAGACAATCTGCTCTTCGTCCTCCCCGGCTCTGAGACAAGGGGCCTGATTCCTTCAGATTAATTACAGCCTGACAGAAGACGGTCACACTCAGGAAACGGAGCCGACATGCTCCCAGGCGTGCGCGGTCACATGACTCCTCTCTGCTTCACATGAGCTGCTCTTCATCTCCATCCATGGAAAAATAAAATAATGTAAATTTGGCGTCTGCCGCGCGGAGCGCCTGCAGTCGTCTGAGCCGCCGAGGCTGCTGGGAGTTGCCGGATGGATGTTTCGTCTTCACACTGTTTTCTCCTGAAGTTCAGTTCCTTTGTTGAACTCACAGGAAACGGATCAACACTCCACTGCAGATCAGTGTTCTGAGCACAGGAAAAAAAACATTGAAGAAGTAGAAGATCCAGTTGCGACTGTCTCTGCTGAAACTCGTCAGATTGACTGACAGGCAGATGTCCATCAAACCCCAGAGAGGATTGATTCACCGAAATCTCCTAAAACAAGAAACGCTGACGGATATAAAAGGTCCTCTGACCATCGGTGGCTTCAAGTCAAGACGAGAACGTCCAGAGATATAAAAGGTCCTCCGGCTTCAAGTCAAGACGAGAACGTCCAGAGTCGTCCTGAAGTCCAGTGTTGTGACAAGTTGACCGTATGTTTATTGTCAAGTGATGTTCAACATCTGTTGCCTGTCGTTTTGTCTCTGAATTTTAGAAAGGTTGTCGGGGTCCAGTTGACTCTGACCTGGTGCAGGAGAGGACGGCGGTCCATGAGTGAAGATCTGAGGACAAGAACCGCCGTGTTCCCGACCAGGTGGAAGGAGGAAGATGGAGGTCGTGGAGCTGTTCTCTTATTGGCTCCTGCAAATTGGAATGATATGTGTCACAGTCCGACACCTGGACACCAGGTGGGTCACACCAGGTGGGCCACACCAGTGATGGTGTCTAATGTTCGGACCTTAAAGACCCACTGAACCAGAGCGACCTCTGATATGGACAGAACACTCATACTGTTATTGTGTACTTTAGGGGACATTTCTGTCCACGCAGACATTCAGCTGATCCTTCAGTGACGATGACAGCGATGACGACGAAGATGACAAAGATGTGGCGTCTCCCTGCTGGTCCGGCCGTGGTCACGACAGCTGCCACGGCGGGTTGAAGAACTTGATGGCGTGACTCTTGGCCCACTTAGCGAAAACTGCTTTTTCCGTGATGAAGCGATGTCCACCGTAGGGGGCGCTCTCGTGCAGCACGTACTCGGCACACTCATCCCGACTGCCGACTTCATAGTAGTGGTAAGGAACCTTCCTGTAGTCGTCTGTTCTGTAAGAAAGGAGAGGGGAAACAGGAATGACGTGATCTGAAAGCATCAGACTTTTAATATGAAAGTCCAGGGTTCAAGTTCCTGTTTGGGCAGCTGTTCATAAAGATTTCAGTTCCAGAGTGTAGTATTTGTCTCAGTTGATTATCATTCAAACCATGATGACATTTTTTTTAGTAATTTTTCACATTACTTCCTGTGGTGAGACAAAAACGCGTCACCTTGAGAACTGATCCAGAGAAGAGTTCCATGTTCCGACTGTTCTGACAGTGTTCAACACAGCGTTTGTGATTTAAATACCAGGTCTCACATGACCGTGAAGGGCAGGTGCAGAACTGGAAGGTAATTAATTATGAACCAAACAGAATGACAGCAGCTTCGGTTTGCAGACTGTCTGGCAGATGTAAACATTTAATCCTACTCTAATGACACCGAGGAATAGCAGGAAGAAGAAGAGGATCATGGGAACTCTAGGGAATAGAACAGCAACGCAGGAAACAAAGGCGGAGATAAACAGACGAACTAACAAAGAGCACCAGGAGCCCGGAGACCAGAGACAGGAGACAGGCAGCCGTAATTGGACACAAGTGGATCACGTCATCATCAGGGCGAGAGACAGTCACCGAGCTGCAGCACAGACAAAACAAACACAGGAAGTGGAGTCTGGAAACCACTGCCTTAACTTCATTTTAGCTATAGCTTAAATGCTAGTTCCGCTGCTAACATTAAAAAAAACAAAAACAGCGTTGACCTGAGAAGTCGTCGCCTTTGAACCTTGAAATCAGATCATTCAGAAAAGACACAGGTGAAAGACTGGCGCCCCCTGTGAGAGGGGAGGTAAATCTAAATGATTCTAACAAACTAAATGACTGAACTGTTAACCTGATTCTACTGAACCGTGTTCAGACTCCTCCACCAGCGCCTCCCTCAGACAGATGCTGAGCTCAGCGGGTTTTTAATTTCAGCTGCACTTGGCAGAAAAAAAGAAGAAAAAAACAATATTCAATAAATTCTCCTTCATCCATCCATCCTTTAAAGTCTGTGGAGTCGAACTGGAGTCGAACCACAGACCATATATGGATTCTCCTTCATCCATCCTTTAAAGTCTGTGGGCGGCGCTGGAGTCGAACCACAGACCATATATGGACAATAGATTTTCTTCTTCTTGCAGAACAAACTTTCTGTGTAAGATTTGGCGTTTAGCGCAGAAATGTCAATATGTTTATATATATTTTTATAACCAAAGTCAATAGTTTGTCCTAAAATCTTCTTCCTTCTACAACAGAGACCAGGACGGTTCTGCTTCTGCTGCTTCTAACATTTAACAAAGGTTTTTGAAAGGAAGACGAGGAGGTGACTGTGGCTTTTTGCCAGCATACAGTCACAGTCACCGCCCAGTTGCTGCCTCAGCTCCTGTCAAACCTCCCAGTACTGAGGATCTGACTGGAACGTCCAGAATAATCCAGAATAATCCCACAAAAACCTCCATTCTGTTCCTCCTACTGTAGAAGTCGACAGCCGTTTGTGTGACAAAATAACCGTCCATTCAGAAAGTGGATGCACGTTCCTCTGACTCATGCGGGAGGCAGGGAGGGAGGGGGGGTGTGGGTGAGGGGGGACCAAACAACAGGCAGTAAGAGAGCGAGGCATTTAACTGCCTCACTGAATTATAAAATCCTCGACACCGCTGGATTTATCACTCTCTTCTTCTCCCCGTGTTTGAGGTTGTTTATTACAGCAGCTGCGTCTCTTCCTCGTCTTTTTCCCGGTATGACAGACCTCGTCTACTTGTTAGTTACTTGAGTTTCTCAGAGCCAGCCAACTCTCCACCCTCTCTCCCAAGAACCTGATGCCAGGCATGAGGAATTTAACGGGACAGGCAGGGGGCGGAGGGCGGGGGGGGGGGGGGGGGGGAGAAGGGGGGGGGGGACCATGAGGGGATCGACTGAGCAGCTCTGCCCGGAGCAGCAGCATCGTGTTCGTCATCCATCCTGTGGCCTCTCCAGCAGAAAGTCATCAGTCACCGAGAGTCAGAGAGAAGATGACAGGAAGTGGAGCTGCAGCGCTGCAGCCACCCACTGAGATGTGACTCCTCCAGCCTGCTGCATATTCCAGGCAGGGAGAGCGAATGGCATTCACAGCACAGAAAAATACATAAATAAATCCAATATGGAGTCCAGCAGTAGGTGTCGTTGATCATGCCATAGATGTGGATTTCTTTGCACATGTCCATGGCCAGGATGAGAGTGAACCAGCCGGTGCTGAGGTAGGAGCCGGACTGGATCCTGGAAACAAAGACACAAAGACAGAGAGATTCATTAAGAAGAAAATTAGGAATGTTTTATGTTAAGCATTTCGTTTTTTTGCACACTTTTTACCAAAAGAGTTGTAAGAAAAATATAAAAAGTCGCCCAGTCGCTGCCTCAGCTCTGATGATGTCACACAGCGTTGACAAATACATTCCATCAGATCCGTCAGATCTGACTGGAATAATCCAGAATAATAATCCTACAAAAACCTCAGTTCTTTTCCTGGTGCTGTAAAGGTCGGCAGCCGTTTGTTCTGTCCAATCAGAAAGTGGGAGAAGCAGAATGTGAAAATACGACTGAGGCCGGAAAATTCACTGGTGTAAATGAGCTTTTTGAACAGCTCACCACATTTTACTCCCGGTGAATAATGCAGAGGCCGATCAATGTGAACATGAATCATCCTTTCATCAGGATCACAGTCAGGCTGTGTGACTTACTGAACATGACCTATCAAAGTGAGCAATACACACTTTGATCATTCCAAACAGGCCCGCTGCAATGCAGCGAGGTTGGCCGTGTCTGATGTGGGTCATAAAGTGTACCCCCCGACCTCACCCCCCCGGCCCTCCACAGTAAAGGCCCGATGCCCCCAGAGGCCCCGCCTCGTGCTGATGTAAAATGAAAGAAATAGTGTGTGAAGCCTCAGAGCTGGTGTCGGTGGTGAAGTATCGACGTACGGATGATGAGGGAACACAGAGCTGTTGGTCATAAAAGATTACGTTTTCTATGAATTGATCTCCATGAAAAAAAGGCTGAGTTTAAAAACACAATTACTCGTTAATCAAGAGCTAAGGGAGTCGCTAACGATTACTTTCACCATTGAGCGACTCTTAATTGCCTCCGTCTGAGAAGGACTGTTCAATACGTGCTGTAATGGACCAACAGTTCAGAGACACAGAAACATTTCATCAGACGGAGGCAAACCTTATTAGACAGATAAAAGAAATTAGCCAAATTAAGTCCAATGAATTGAATTAAAAAAAATGTTTGATTTAATTCACCCATAATTATGAACAAAAGAAAATCAATTTACCTGTGAATTGATTACTGATAAGAAAAACTCATAATTACATTTTTTGTTCATACAATAGTTTACTGTGTGGGATAATAAATATAACGTGTTTAAAACGTTTAGAAAAATATTAAATGATAAATGGAAAAATAAACGAAGGATTTACGTAAAAAAATAAAAACCCAGTTGGTGTAAAAGAGAACATTGACGGATAAATAAACTAATCCTTCATTAACTGAGCTTAAACAGGCTGCAAAATACACACGTCAACACGTCCTTTTACATTATTAAATGGTCGACTTAATAAACAACAAACAAACAGAAGAAGAACTGCTGCATCATTAACTGATCAATGATTAAAGCAGTAAATCCTCCTGAAACACAGCAGGACAAACTGTAAACTGTACGGCAGTGTTTGGTACCAAGGACAGCTCCTGCACCACTGACTGTCTGGGTCAGAACCACGGACAGCTCCTGCACCACTGACTGTCTGGGTCAGAACTATGGACAGCTCCTGCACAGTTGACTGGTTCAGGACCACGGACAGCTCCTGCGCTGCTGACTGGTTCAGAACCATGAACAGTGTCACAAATCATTCAGAAATCCAGTATTCCTGTATTTTTAGACCATCAGAGAGAACTTCAGTAAATAAGTTGAGGGCCACAAAGTGGGCCCCGGACCAGACCTTTGACATACCTGATCTGATGGATTACAGGATTAAAAATAAATCCTTAACTAATCTATGACATTAACTGACGGTGACAGTTCAGTCAGATTTTCTGCTGGTAAAAAAAGGATGAATTTTTCAAGGACAACTGGACCATCTCTCTCCCTCTTTTCTTCTCAACTCTAAAGCGTGGACCAATCACAAGCAGACACAGCAGCTCAGCTCAGCATTCTCACCCTCACATACGTGCAGTGCCTAGAGTCAGACACCAGGGCCGTGGGGGTGAAAATTTAAAAATAAGCAATTTGTCGTACTAAGGCAGGAGAGCAGCACAGATGGCAAACGGCACTAACTGCTGGTTCAGAGCCCGGCTGCTCTGAGCTGTCAGAGCTGTCAACACATCACTGTTAGCCTGCATTATTCATCAGCCACCAGTTCAGACATTCACACACAGCAGTTCTCAGCTGAGACCTGGATGGCCTTGAGCAAAAAATGAAAAAAAAAAACCAAAACAAAACTGTACCCAACTTGTATAAATACAAATAAAAGCCGTGGAACCTGCTGACCGGACAGAACTGGTTTTTAAAGTTGAAGAAGTTGAAGAACAACGCGGTGGACGCTGGAAAACTTTAGACTTACTTTACGTTTCGTATCTGCCTGGGATAAAACTACGGTTGTAGCAGGAATATTTTCCGTCTTTGCCACATTTTTCTGCCCCTGAACATCACCCTGACCTCCACACACGTTGGTGCCGCCCGTATCCATTACCCTTAGCATTTACCTCTGTGTGTTTTTATGGGTAAATATCTTGTCTTCATCGTGTACTACTGCAGCTCTACAACTATGGGGGAAGGATTAGACCGTTACACAACGGATTCCAAACAGACGCGGCTCAGTGTGAGTAACATCCAGAGCCTGGGGGGAAAAAAGAGAGAAAGTAATTTGGTAGTTTTATTAAAGCAGAAAAACACAACACTTTGAGTCCAACAACAGCAGAGAACGGTGTCACCCAGGTCTCGTTTGCACCGCCTGGCTTTTTACCAAGTCGTTTTATTTCCTACTGCTGCAGCCAAAAATGAAACATCGTGAAATATGTTAGAGCCCGAGCGGAGAGCAGACACAAACAAGACAAAGACGTGGTGTAAATACGTTTGTGTTGTTTCTATGAACACAGAGCTGCGGCGCACTAAGTAGGACTGACTGTGTCAGGACGCGGCTGTGCTGCAGGAGCAGAAATGAAGTCAGACATCCAGCTTCTCCTGCTCTGGCTGCCGTGGAGACGCTCGGTGTGAGTGAGTCTTCACCCGCACAGTCTCCGTCCAATCAGATTCTCCTGACATTTACAGCAGGGAAAATGTTTATTCAGGGCTAGGCCTCCGAAAACCTAAGCCTGTGTTTCTCCGACTCCAGACTCCAACAACTCTGTGCCAAACCTGTCACCTGTCAATCACAGTTTTAAAAACGTATTTTACATTTGAACGTTTTGTGGTCGTGAATGAGATGAAGGCAACAACAAGGTGAGTCGGTTCAGTCAGAATTAAATCAAGAGTTAGCTAAAGGTTAGCTACGACAGATGACTCTCTACTTAAAGATAGAAAAGCTCCTTTAAAAATACACTGGTTTGTGTAAAAAAATGTATTTACACTAGTTTATATTTTCGTGATGCTAAAGGAAAATAGTAGTTTTCTAATTCAGTTTCTGACCTGAAGACGCTCTCTGATTTCTTTCTCTACTTCTTTTCCAGTTTGCTGCTGTGATTCAAGGACGAACTCTGACCCTGTGCATTTCACATCTGTGCAGAAGAAGTGTTTTTTTTTCTCTCTTCACTGCCTCTGCTCTCTGAGGAAGCCTGCAGAGCTGCGGTGGGAATCTGGAATATAAAGTTCACCACCTAAAGTCTTTAGAATCTGAGCTCCTGCAGGAAGTGCAGAATGAAAGAGTCGGCAGCTGCAACAAAGGAAAGGAAATACAGCGGCGTTAGTGTCACGATCTGCAGCTTTGACGTTTACAGAAAGCGTGCGTCCTGACCCGTGGTGTCAGTGACCAGGACGCTGCAGGAGCTGAACGTACGCAGCCTTTTTATCTGAGTCTGTGAGCGAGGAAAGTAAGTTGACTATTCCTTTACAAATGTTTTATATAAATATATTTATTCTAA